TACGAAACACCTTAAGAATCCAATGTTTCTTTTTACAAAATCTGTATCTCAGCGTAGAAGCATTCCCACGCCTTTGCACTGACGGAGCATACGTCTCAGATATACAAGAATATTCTTTGGTAGTTTTGTTGAAACCGAGTAAAAAAAGGATAGAGGGCAGCCAACTTGACTGAAGACACCTTTTCGGCAAATGCTAAAGGTAAAAAGAAATAGTTGTTGCATTCAAACAAAAAATAAGAGAATGAAGTCTTTTTTTATCAGTCGATAGAGCAACAGTTCTGATTTCAGAATAAATATGATTTATTGCCCAACTCTTTTTACTATTCACAAAAGATTAATGTCTTTCTCTAATTTTCTCTAGCGCTACTGGTATTTGACTTTTTTTGCAACCAAGTTTTCCCAATGAATTCAGCAGCTGAAACAAAGTTTTTCTTACCACAGAACTGATCGTTAATAAAAATGTGTGAGTTACTATTCGAGTCTCGAAAAAACACACTTTCATTTGTTCACGTAATGCCCACGTTGCTGCCCACTATATTGGGATAGAAAGATCAGGGCGTCATGGCTTCCACATAAAGTAAGACTTAGACAATTGAAACTTGACTTCAGATCCGAATCACCCACCTATGATAACTCATTGACGAAGTTGCATAGAAAATATTATAAAGATTGTGCCTACTATGCTCAATCATTGTACAGTGGTATTTGAGTTGACTGAGGTCATTTAAACCAATCTCTTGAGTTTCACACCATTGTCTCATTGGTTTCAAATATAAAAAGGATTTGTTTTCTAACTGTATAGATTACGAAACTGATCATGTATATGAATAAAATACTATTGTTTATATTCCTAATTACTCCAATGATCGGCATTTGTGGAACGATCAATACTAAATTGCCAGCAATCTATTATGGTAATCAAGGCTGGGCTATGAACGAAATTGAATATATTTCATCGTGGATTGGCAAGCGTCCAATAATAATATTACTTTTTACTGATTGGTGCAATACATCAATGAATAATTTGTTCAATTATCAGCTGAATAATATATGGAATAATCGGAGTATTCCAGCGATTACATGGGAACCATTTGGTTGTAGTGGTAGTAGTCAACCGGGTATAGTAGGACTTATTCGAAATAACACTTATGACACGTACATAAATCAATTTGGAGATCGTTTGAAAATTTGGTTAGCTGGAAACGATGGTGTTTTGGGTAACAGTGATGATCGAAGGGTATATCTTCGGTTAGGTATGATATTTATTCCAAAAATCGTAACATGCGTCTTTCAAAATAGGAAGCAATATGATTATTATGCTACATGTATTTTATGAATCACGGAAAATCTGAAAGATTGGTGATTTTATTGACTAAACCATTCGAATCACCAGCAAACTCTCAATTGCACTCGTCAGTAACAGTTCGTTTGATCGATTAAAAAGTGATCAGATTGAAAAGAAGACTTAAGTAGCTTTTGATCAGTATTTTATATCGAGGATACTAAAGGAATCGATGTCTCTCCTCCACACTTCCGAAATTAGAGTTCACTGCTCCACCGATGTATGCAATAGTCTTTTCAGAGCTTTAAATTGCCCGTCTCGAAAAGCAAGTCTGAATAAAGCGCTGGTTTTAATCTTTTCATGCTACTATTTTTAGATTTTTAACTATTTTATTATTCCTTCAGCTAATACTTTGATCAAGTAATTGAACCACCAAATGTAATTGGCTGTTTTTCAGCTCAGAACAAAACATAAATATTCTGCTGCGGCCATTAATCAATTGTGAAATATTTTAAAATCATTAAAAAACGCTTGTAATCATTTTAAATATTTTCCAAGATTCTTCTAGTTTTAACTTGCATTATTCTGACTTAAACTTGAGAAGATTGCTTACAAATTCAGTAGCGGAAGATTGGGAGCTGTAGACAGTCTAAAAATATAGTTTCGAATTTTTTGCATATTTATGATAACCATGATGTAGTGTCACAGTAAAATCTTAAATTTCTTCCATAGGCATTTAGAGGTACATATGATGCTCTATTTGTGAGTGAAAAACTTGGTTTTTTGATAGTTTCCGGTCAAATTCTCGAGACTTGGATCTTTGTACAGCTACTATTGTATCGTGAGTTATCATTCCATACGTATGATCTGAATATCCCTCGATATATAAATTGATGATGACTTTCTATTGCATCCAAACATTTGAATGTCTTCGTCAAATATTTTATCACATTGAAATGCATGTTAGTGGCAATCTAAGCATATGTATCAGCGTCTTCCCTTCACTTAAATGGCCACAGTCACATCCACACCCTAGTTCAAAATATTGTTGATAGATTCTCGCAAAATATATACGAATAAAAACTAATCACACTATAAAAATTTTCTATCGAATGATTTTAGCTCATGAAATGAATGGAAATTGGTATCCGTGGTCGATGAGTTCAACTCCACAAGATTTCATTTCGGCATGGCATCATATACATGATATATTCGCAAACAAAAGTTTAGATTCAACGAGACTTCAATGGATTTGGTGCGTGAATAATGCTGATGTTGGTAGTTATACCGCCGAAAATTATTGGGTCGGAGAAAATTATGTTGATTGGATGGGAATCGATGGATACAATTTTGGTAAAAGTCAAAGTTGGAGTTCATGGTTAAATCCGAATCAAGTTTTCGATAATATGATCACACGATTAAAAAATTTATCTTCAACAAAACCAATATGTATCAATGAATATGCATCAACAAGTGTACGTACGGGAAATATTTCCAATATAACAGCAAAATATGATTGGTTACAACAATTTTGTGTATATATGAATAATAATCAAATTAAGATGGCTTCATATTTTAATACGGATAAAGAAACTGATTGGGCAATATTCGGTGGAATTCGTGGAGATAGTTTGTGGACTAATTATAGTGTCTATACTGCATATCGAGATTGTTTTCAATCAAATGATTGGATAGTAATAAATAGTACTAATCCAAGACTTATTAGTGATGAAGAATTCTCTGGTACAGGTAGGAAAAATTGAACAAACAAAAACTCAGATGAATAACTTTGTCAAGTAGAAAATTTCAGACTGTTGGGCTGTTTTTGATCGAATCGACGACAAATAAACAGACTCCAATTTATGTCTTCAACAGTAGAATTAACAGAGAATATGAAACAGGAAATGAATTCACTAATTCGTCTGACTTCAATCAAAAAGTATAATTTTTCCTTCCTTAGAAATTTCTACAAGGAGTAGAACAACTATTCGCAGGAGTTCAAGCTTCTCCAATCCATACACTTTCAGAAGGTTTCGCCACTAGCTTTTACTGTTTATTGTTTCAATGTTGAAAACGCCAGCTTCATAAGTAGATGTGTAGAAAGCATATAGCATTGTTCAATGAGCATAAATAACTGTTATGGAGGAACGCACGACCCTATATCATTCGATAGAAAATAATCCAAGATTTTACAAACCCAAAAAGCGTTCATGAAACCGCGACAAATGGCAAATTGTTTTTAATCAAACTGTCATGCAATGGGAGTTCTAAATATGTTGTATAGTGAAATATTTATCGTTCTAGCATCGAATACGACAAATACAACAACAACAGCAACATCCATTCTGACTAGTACCTTATCAACTAGTACAACGTCAAGTACTGCAAAACATTCTTTATTCTGAAAAATTCAGCTGATTTGCGCGTTGCTTTATCTTAGACATAACATCAAGTATTCTGGCGACAATCGGACTAACTACACAAATAAGTATGAGACTTTTACGAAAAAAATACTTAAGAGAAGCTCTCAGAACAATTTATGCAGTTGATCTATTATCGAAGTGTTGTAGAATATGGAAAGAAAAACCAATATTACTGTTGTTAATTACCGGTTAAAATTATCTGTTTCAGAGACACCAAAATGCTATAGATAGAACTCTTCAAGGAGACTAAAACAGTTGTATTCTTTCGAATTAAGTTTAAATACGGATTTTCTGTCGAGAGCGCTCTGGTTCTGCTACTAACCTGATTGTTTGACTTTTCTGTATTTGTAACTCTAGCAACAACAACTGCTGCTACAGCAACATATTCTACCTCGGCTGCTACAGCAATCACAGTTGAATATGCCAATATATATCGACAATTTCTGGAAATACTCATTTGCATTATCGTGATCTATATAAAAAATTGACAGTTCCTATCGTTTTTACGCATCTTCCTAACTTTTAATTGTCACGTGTAATCTGGCTACTTTTCATCGTCTAACTATACTCGAGTTGATAACGAACTGTCATATAATAGAACTCAATAATTTCCTGTTGCCATTATGTGTACAATATGTTCTTTCGTAATCTTTTTCTGCATTGATCGAAACTATTTGTAGGTAAACATGTGGATATGAGTGAAGAAAAGACTCACGCCAACACCCGCACCGAATGACTTCTACAAATAAATATCAGTAATCTGACAATTTGAACTGACAACTCATGGGCACACGAAAATAGTGTCTCGAATCTTTGTTCACCTCGTTGAATCGAAATAGTTGCTCAAATATTTTATATATAGGAAACGTAAAGAATGAAGATGTTTCTTTTGTCAAGAAATTTCGTTCCAGCTTAGATTGAAGATGCCTATGAGTTCCTCAAAGGAGAACAAAGATACATCGGAATTTTCCTTTTTTTTCATGCAATTCTGTCTATCTTAGAAGTGGAATTTCTGGTAAGTTTATAAGCAAATAGTAGTTTCAATTCCTTGTCCAGTATGTTCGATTGACACTTTTGTTGTTTTTGTCAAGTTTCCAGTTTTGAATCGATGGATAAGTATGAAAAATTACTGTCTACTATTATGAACAGATGTTTATGATCATTTTTTCATTGGCAACGAATCTTATTTTTCCAATTGAAAATATTCTCTTGATATTGAATTTGTATATTCGAAGTTCACATCTAACGACAAAACACTCTGCTCACATGTGTGCCATTATCATAAATCATATCGATTTCTAGATGAATAATTCGGTATTTCTCACAAAAATAAAGAAATTGTTAGACAACTAAGATGTTAGTGGNACAAAGATACATCGGAATTTTCCTTTTTTTTTCATGCAATTCTGTCTATCTTAGAAGTGGAATTTCTGATAAGTTTATAAGCAAATAGTAGTTTCAATTCCTTGTCCAGTATGTTCGATTGACACTTTTGTTGTTTTTGTCAAGTTTCCAGTTTTGAATCGGTGGATAAGTATGAAAAAAGTACTGTCTACTATTATGAACAGATGTTTATGACCATGTTTTCATTGGCAACGAATCTTATTTTTCCAATTGAAAAGATTCTCTTGATATTGAATTTGTATATTCGAAGTTCACATCTAACGACAAAACACTCTGCTCACATGTGTGCCATTATCATAAATCATATCGATTTCTAGATGAATAATTCGGTATTTCTCACAAAAATAAAGAAATTGTTAGACAACTAAGATGTTAGTGGAACACATTATGCATCAAGTTCAGACATCAGTGGTACCGTTGTGGTTGAGAATTACTTTGAATCACGTATAATTATTAAATACTACTTTGTATTTTCGATTGAAGTTTACCATCTCGTTGTTGAATATTTTACTATAAAGTAGTACTATTCACCAATAAAACTATTGCTTGTTTTAATGGTTATTAAATCTCATTTCATCGTAATCAGTTAGCATACATACTGCTTTGATTGTCAAAAAAGAAATGACGATTGTTTTAAATACTACATGGAGACGAAACACTTCGCAACGTAGAAAATTTGTTTTTTTTTTCTAGCAGAGCCAGTAATTTTTTTTGCGTTCTGTTAGAAATAAATTGTTACACTCTCAAAAAATCTACGATACGCTTCCGGATGTTGGTTGCCTTGGGTCGACCTTAGTGATAAGCATCTAACAAAATAGAGTGTAGTCATAATAATGGAGAAAACGTGAAGAATTAACGTGATTGATTCGTAAGCTTTGCCATTGACGACAACAAACAGTAGAAAAGACGAATAATGGCTTTCTCTCTTTTGATTTTAATTGCTTTTTTTGAAACCTCTTTTCAATCATGTCGCCAATTGATTTCAGTAGAATAGGAAATCGACGATCAATTATGAACCAGTTGTGTTTGAAGCGTTTTTATATCGAATGTCGATTGATCATCAAAGAGAAACATGGTGACTAATAATAAAGCATCGTATTATCTTATATAAGATATTTTCTGGTGTATTCATTTATACTTCTAAGACACATCCTATTTGATCGTATTTTATGTCTCTCACACCCAAGTAATTGTGAGAGAGCACTAATAACTAAATGTTCGTTTTTATTTATTTATTTTCAAGTAATCATATCCACTTTAATAAATATCAAGGTCAATCTTTTTTTCCTCTTTCTGTTCCGTCCGTGAGAATTTATTGAAATTCTCAGTCGTTTCTTTTGCTCCAAATTTATTTATGCGTAGTTTGAAAAAACATGTCCGATGTCATCTTCTTTACTTATATTTGCATAAACCGAAATGGGAGAGGTTTACCAATTATGTGCATTCGTGTCTCTCGCGTGTCTATAGATGTATGTGTTAGGTGATATATAAATAGCTGCAACTTTTCTAAATAAGTCGGTCGATTAATTAGAGAAAATTCTCTCTTTCTGTTGAAAATATCGTTGCAGAGAGCAACCTTTGTAACACTAGCGTTTTTTAAAATTTCCTTCAGTATCCGTGGAGTTCATTTATTGGAAAGCATTTTCCATTGCTTATCACGCACGTGTGTTGTACTTCACAAAAAAAAACATTTCAAAATTCTAGAGAAAATAGATTGCATTTAAATTGCTCGACAACAGTAAGACTGCCGGATGCAATGCAATTTAATTGCTTTCTCAGTATGAGAAGTATATTATAGACAATCTCGCCTCACCTTCGTTTCATTTTTTTTTTCTACGCTTACTCTACATCGCTCAAACTCGTTGACATTATAACCAACCAAATAAACATTAGAAAGATGGGCAACTGCAGTGGAGTTCTTCCAATGGGACACGGATCTAACTCAAAGCATCCTCATGGAGGCCCACCTGGTCAGGCACGTAAACATTCTAACGATGGAGGACGACGTGGCAGTGGTGACAGTCATGGAAAAGGTGGTGGACAGGGACATGGACATGGAAATAAAAATCATTGACATAAACAGTTTTCGTTTTTTACAATGAACATTTACATTGAGTTTTCTGTCCAATGAATATAGTTTCAAGAAATTTTCCTCGCTATGGAATTTCTCCTTAATAGTTCAATAAAAAAAGTCCTTAAAAATCCATACTGAGCTTATTTTGATGAGTAGACTAACGATTTTTATAAAGCCAACATTTCTCGATGGTTGTGAGTGTAGGTGCGTGAAGGAAAGACTTTACCAGTGTGTCATATTTCTACGTCATTCTTACTGAGAAAAAAATTATACGTTCGATATATTTCTAATGATAGTAACGTGAAGAAACAACAAGACGTTGACGTACGTCTTGATACAGAGATAGATGATGATAAATTTCTTGATACTTTGCCAATTGATCATGAATCAGAATTAGAAAATCAAGGAATACAACAATGGAAAAAGTAGATATATAAATGTTATTAATTTATTTATTTTTACTATTATTTGTTTAAAGGAAGTTTGATTTGAAAAATCTCTTTTCGAGTAATACCTTGTATGTAAGATTACTAATAAGCATCAGAAAATAACTTAAAGAATATGTCAATTTTTTTAATTTTGACATCATTTGTATTTCTGTAACTACAACAAGTAAACAGCTGAAATTCTGATATAAATTTGATCTTGACGTCTGATATGTGTATTGTAAATATCAGTCCTGACCAATGTAATAAATTTATTAACAGATAACTCTGGCATGGTTTTGTTTCATTGTTTCTATGCAGTCAGTTGACTTTGATTATTCAAAATCAGATATAAAGATTTGATGACAGAGAAATTGAAAAGCATGATCATGCACTATAGTTTCTTGTTTTTCATAATCCTCAACACTATCTCAAGAAATTACTTTTTTTTTGAAAAACTGAGAATATCTTTTCGATTATTTGTTGACCACATAAATGAATTTACTTTTCTCTTTCGCTCTTGACCGGAGACAGAACACATATTGATATAGAACGAGAATTAATACATGAATAAAATTTCATCATCAACTTGATGATGGCAAAAATACTACTTAGGGGTATCCACAAGTAGTGGCAACGACATTTTAGTACCACTTAGTAAGCTTGATAAAAGTTTCTTTTTACACAGGATGATAGAGAAAAAAATGCTCTTTCTTTCTATGCTATTTGATCATACTTCACATAATATAATGGTAATAAATTT